CAGCCACTGCAAGGTACTGGGCTAGGTCACTGGGGTTACAAGTGTGATTAAGATACTGTCCCTCTAGTGAGAGGCTCAGAGCTTCACTGGGGTGGCTGACACTGATATAAAATACAGTAGGAAAGATTCTATGCTTAAGGAATGTGTGATACAGCAGAGGAATAGAGAAAAGGGCAACGTTCCTGAGTAATCAAGCAAGCTTCTTGAATAGACTGAATTAATCATCCACTTTATTTCTAATTCACATTTAAAATTTTTTTTTATTTATGCATACAGAACTGGGGTACAGGCCAGAGATGTGGTGGGTGAGAGGATTCACCACAGACAGAGTGGAGAGCAGAATAGGCAGATCTACGAAGTACAATGCTGAGGGGAGCAGCGGGCAATACAGGAGAGGGCTGCTGCGCCCTGTGGGCCCATCCAGACCAGGGCTCCAACTTGCACTGAAGCGGCTGCAGCTAGCTTGAAGTGCTGTTCCCTAACCGGCTGTGCCACCAGGGAAGGGCCTCTAATTTAATTTTTGACTAGTTAATATACTCACATGGCTAAATATTTTAAAGAAATAAAAATGTAATGGAACACTGTTTACTCCAAATATGAGTGAGGATGTGAAACAACAAGAACTCTGATTTATTGCTGGTGGGAATACAAAAGGGTACAGCCACTAGAAAATGGTTTGGCAGTTTCCTACAAAACTAACCATAGTCTTAGTCTGTCATTCAAGCAATTGCCTTCTTTGGTGTTTACCTAAAATTTATAAGCTATGTCTGTCCTGACCAAATCCTGTGTCACTGGTTTCTGGATTTTAAAGGCTGTCATGTTGGGAGTGTTGGGGAGGGGAGGCAGTGTATATAGGAGCATTCTGTATTTTCTATTCAATTTTTCAATGAACATGAAAGTTCTTTTAAAAATAAAGTCTATTTGGGTCCTTCCTGGTGGTGCAGCAGGTTAAAGCACAGCACTAAGAAACTAAAGCCATTTCAGCCTGAGTTTGATCCTGGCAAGAGGTGACCACATGGCGCAGCAGACCTCTCCAGACCAGCCCATTGCTCCCCTCAGCAGTGTACTTCATGGATCTGCTTGTTCTGCTTCTCACTCTGTCTCTGGTGAGTCCTGTCACTGCCCCTGCACCTCTGGCCTGTACCCCAGTTCTGTATGAATAAATAAATAAATCTTAACAAAGAATGATAATAAAAACAACAAAAAAAGTCTATTTAAAACTATTATATTATTTTAAAAAAAAAGTTCTACCGAGGGGGGAGAAGGTAGGGGAAATGGAAGAAAAATAAATAGTAGTTCCACCAAGAAAAAAAAAAAAAGAGAATACAGTGAAAAGTATTATTCTCACCCTAACCCCTGGCTATTCAAGTCAACTTGAAGCACAAAGACACTAGTATTTTTAGTTTCCTAAGTACATTTCCAGGGATTTGGAAGTAGGCACACACTATCACATGCAGTCCTTTATTGATGAACTAGATGATTTTAAACTTTTGCTAGTACAAGCAAAAGTACAATAAATAATGTTGTACAATCTTATTTTGAAAATTGTCACATATGTTTGTAAAGATTAATCCTATAGTGGAATGGGTAGATTAAGAAATATGTGCCCTTATAATTTTAAAAAATATTTCCAAATTTTCTTTTATATGCAGTTGTACCAAATTATACTTGATGTGATAAAGTATGATGGAGACAAACTCAAACTCAATGTATAGTTACTCTTTTGCATCTTTTCCAACTTCTTGATAATGACATCATGGTATAGCTTTAATTTATATTTTTCTTATGAGATAAGAATTCATATACATATGCATTTGAAAGACACATATATTTCTTTTCTGTGAGCTGTGTACATAATTTGTTCATTTTTCTACTGAATATTTGACATTTCTTATTGATTTGTAGATACAATTTTTATATAATAACAGTAATAGCAATTTTTCTCTCAGTTAATTTTTGTTTGACATCATACAAAGTGGTTTTTGCCATGCTTTTAAATATATTTGACTTTATTAATGTTTTATGCCTTCATTTTTTATTTTTTTGTCACAGGAAGACAAAAATTTTATCTCTAGAGGTAATTTTAAAATATTGTCATAAAATATTACACTAGGGATACATCTAAGAAATGCATTGTTAAGTGCTTTAATGGCAGTGTGAACATTGTAGAGTGTAATTATATAGACCTAAATGCTATAGCCTGCTTATGCACCTTGACTATTTAAATAGGCCTGCAATGAATATTGAAGAGTACATATCCCTTCAGATTAGTGTTTCTGAAGTCTTCCGGTATATATCTGAAGTGGCTGGAACATACAATAGAGGGATTTTTCATATTTTAATAAAGCAACTCCTGTTTTCCATAAGTAGTGAATCAGTCTACATTCTTACCAATAGTATATGAGGCTTGCATGTTCTCCACATCCATGCCAGCTCTTTCTGATCTTTTTTTATATGGGCTTTTCTCACAGGTGTGAGGTGGTTTCTTTCTCATTATGGTTTTCATTTGTATTTCCTTGATAAGTGTCTATTAGCCAAGTCTATGTCTCTTTGGAGAACTGTCTATTTAGCTCTTCTGCCCATTGATTTTATTGGAGTATTTATATTCTTTTTGTTGAGTTGTAGGAGTACTTTATCAACCTCGGATACTAAACCCTTGTCTGATGGTTAATGTGCCAATTAATAGCATCATTTTGAGCTGAGTGTTTTCTCCAAGAGACAAGTCCATGACAGCTTCCAAAAACACACACTCAAATAAACATGCAGTCCAAGAAGCTTCAAAACACTTGGTTTTGATTTCTTAAGCCTCTGAGTATTTTTAATATCCTCTGCCTTTTTAATATCCTCTGCCTTAGATGGTTTATCTAGAAACAGAGCTGAGACTGGGAAAAGAATGCATGTCAATTTCTATGGGAGTTCACTTAAAGAAAAATCACTAAGGGAGAAAGTTAAGCAGGAGTGAGGAAAAGAATGTGCTGAGGAAGGGATGTATTCTCAAGTAGAGTCCAGCAATGGCCTGATGTACAGAGATCTTTTGGAGAGATAAGAGAATGGGTATTGATAGCATTTAAGGCTGTTACTGAGGGAGGTGACTCGCTTTCTTGGGCAGGCAATTCCCATCTACTAAGGGCAATTCTTTGGGGAATGAGGTGCAGTGATGAGGCTTTAGCAGTTAATAGTCACAGCAGCTGGGAGAGGGTGAAGGTGGGCAGGAAAAAAACATCAATTGCAGCCTACATGAATATGCTATCAAAATGTGACAGCATAGGATGCAACACTTGAAAAATATGAGGAATAAAAAACTCTGCAAGGCCCTCCCTGGTGGTGCAGCGGGTTAAAGCACAGCACCGAGAAGCTAAAAAGCCACTTCTGCATGAGTTCGATCCCTGCCTGCTCCGGAGGAGATCCACATGGTGTGGCAGACCTCTCCTGGTCCGCCTGCTGCTCACCTCAGCAGTGTACTTCATCGATCTGCCTGTTCTGCTCCCCGCTCTGTCCCTGGTGAATCCTCTCACCCTCCACATCGCTGGCCTGTACCCCAGTTCCATATGAATAAATAAATAAATCTTTAAAAAAAAAATGGCCCTCCCTAGTGGCGCAGCGGGTTAAAGCACAGCTCTGGGGGACTAAGGCCACTGCAGCATGAGTTCGATCCCCGCCTGCCCCAGAGGTGACCACATGGCATGGCAGACCTCTCCTGACCTGCCCGCTGCTCCTCTCAGCGGTGTACTTCGATGATCTGCCTGTTCTGCTCCCCACTCTGTCTGTGCTGAGGCCTCTTACCACCCCTGCACCTCTGTCTTGTACCCCAGTTCTGTATGCATAAATAAATAAATCTTAAAAAAAAGAAACAAAATAAAAGTGTAACTGTTTAAAAAAACAACAACTCTGCAATAAAGTTTTTTGCCCTTTTTATGTTTTCCAATTGCCAAAATTTGTTTTAGTTGGAACTCAGGCTGGGAGTCAGCACAAAAACAATAGGGTTAAAAAACAATAGGGTTAATGTTACTGAGCACCACCAGATGACTGACATGTTGTGAAGTGTTAGTAATTAAAACAAGAAATGCAAAATGAGGATTTGAGGAGGAAGTCAGAAGGAATTTCAGCAAGAGGCAAGATTTACATATGTGAAAAAAAATGATCAGACTTTAAAACAGGAATATCATATTGACTATTTCAAGAGTCTTAAAATTAAACTCCAGTAAAATGCTTACTTAATAAACTGAGTAATGCAGCTTAATATAACCATCACTTATTTATTGAGATATTATTGAAATATCTCCCACCAACACAAAGGAGCTAACAATGATAAATTGTTTTTAATAACAAAAAGGCAAGGACTAAAACAAATACCAGCTCTATTGTGTTGCTATTGGGCAGATTCCATTACGTAGAGATGAGAAGGAAAATCCACAGTCATTTGCCTCCACATTCATCTCCCTGGTGCAAGCTAGTATTGTTCTCTACCCTGTGGCAGGATTAGAAATACCTCCAGGGAACAAGTACACAAAGTTGTTATGGAAACAAGAATGCTTTAGCTCAGAGTTATTTACAAAGAACCTTCAGGATTATCACATTCAATCAAATCAACTGTTTTGTTTCTCGTTGTGAAGGTGCATCCCAATCAAATACCTATTTTGAAGTGCTCATCAATCAACATATTGAATGAACATAGATTCAAAATGCAGTAACTGGTATTCACATCACAGAAGTGTGATTTTTGTGGGGCATTTTGGTATTACATATTTGAAGCGTGCTCACACTTGCCTTAACCATTGTCAAGTGTGCTGTGTTCTATAATGTAAGAACGAGGTGGAGAAACATCTCCTTCAATGTCACTGCTGTCTGTGCCTGATATTGTGACACTGTGGGACTCATCTCTTCAAATTCTCTGAACTCTCTTTTGACTTTAGATGCTAAAATTTTTGCCCTTAATTGTGAATTGGAATTTTTTAACTGTCAAGCAGGATATTTGGAAAAAAATTGAATATTAACCAAAAATGAGAATTTTCATAGCTTTTGATGGATCTTTTGAAATGTTTGACGTTTTAGCAGATGAAACTGTGGAGGCTATCAAGCTGATGATAAAGGTATGTACTTTGTTTCTGAGCAACTAGGATTTGTACTAATTTTATCTTAATTTTCACTATGCAGTGAAGTTTAAACTGAACATAGGGTAATATGGGCTTTTGCAATGGTTTGATGATAGTAATGATGATTGTATTGGGTAGGAAAACAAACCAAGGGAGTAATTCTCAGGAAAGAAAATTTAACTTCTCTGTTTAAATTTGTGGATTGTGCTTGGGCCAGACATTATTTCTGAATCGTGGGCCAGACAGTATTTGTGAAATTCTTCAGAAACAGACAAACAACCAGGACATTAATCCTAGTCTATCTAAGTGGAACGTGCCCATTGTCAGTAAGATGCCTTCTTTGGTGAGGAAATAACTATAATGAACCAAAGGGTATTGGAAGTAGAGAGGATTTTAGAGAGCTTCTGAATTACAGCCTTATTCTGTATCCAGGGAAAACTGAAACTCAGAGATGTTAACTATCTTACTTGGTATCACAGAGGCAAACTAAGAAATAATGTGGGTGCCTAACTTCCTTGTAAATGTCATATAAATATTCACTCTAAAACGGAACGTTAAGGCAAATCTGTTTAACTTGGAGATAATCATCCTGATTTGTTAAGAAGCACATATTGAATCATAGTTTCATAGTAGTAGATTACAGTGATCATTGAAATCTAACTCTCTTAACACAGAGGCTCTTGTGTCATGGATCCATTGGGTGGTATGGTGAAGCCCCTATACTCCTCAGACTGTATTTCAATGCTTAAAGTAAATATATACAAAAAAAAGGAAACCAATTATATTGAGATGCAGTTTTCAAACACTGAAAAACAAACGTGTGATACAATGAAAGTGTACTTCTTTATTAACAGATTAACAGTTCTAGCAGCATATCTAATAACTATTGTATAATTTCAAACAATGATAAGTATATATTATATTTGCAATATTTGTAACAAATAAAATATAGTATGAAAAAAACTAATTTCATCTGGTGACAAGGTTAAGTGTTAAACAAACCTCTGCCACCTTAGTCTGTTGCCTGCACAAAGGAAAGAAAATCTCAATTTGATTTATAGTTTAAAAAAATAAAATGTAACTTCTCCCCACCATATATCAACAAACTATTCACAAACATTTGTGGAGGATACTAGGGGATCTGTCTTTAGACTCCAAGAGTTCCTCTCTAATACTTCTTCCTCCCATTAAAAATAATTTTATAATGTTCAATGGAAAAATGCACAGTGGAAAAAAAGATTACATTGCTAGTCTAAACATATACAGACATATTGTTTCATCATGTATTATTATTTTTTAAGGATTATTTCCACATTCCTCTCCCTGAAGACAAACAAGACAGAAGGTATTTGGAACTCGTGTATGCTGGAGCAGTGCTAAAAGATAGCTGGAGTCTTACTGATGTTGGAATATCATTTTGTTCGACTCTCAAATGTTTTGTTAAGGTAAGATGACTGGAATACTATTTGTCCTAGATGCCTATTTCTTTTTGAATAGCATTGTGAATAATTCAACCAAAGTAATTTATTAACTTTCTTTTTCTTGCTATCTCCTCTCTTCCATTTGTACCACTCCTCTTGTTCTATAAGGGTAAGTAAGTTGTAAAGACTCCTTGTTTACTTTCCTTCCATTCTTTAGCCCCTTTGTTGCCTGTTCCAATTGGTCATCACAGAGTAACCCACATGAACAGTAGAGAACAAGGTCAATGGGAGGATCAGAGATATTGACATAGGAAGAAACAACTTAGGTCACTTCTACAGGTCACAGTGGATCAAGGGCAGAGAAGTAAAGAAAGGGAAGAAATCCTCAGTGTATTGCTGTGAATGAGAATAGAATAGTTTCTAAATCGAAATCCTGCCCAAGTACCTACTTATGAATTAGCTATACCTATAACAAAGAGTCCTCTCCTATTTACAGTGACACCTAATTAGGGGCCCATGGTTTGATTTTAAGAACTTTTTTGCACTAACAGTGCAAAATTATGTACTTGGAGATTTTCTGGGTGGAAGATCTTTAACATTTTATAATTACTTCAAGAGACAAGTGACTTAAAGAGTTTGAGTTTCACTTAGTACTCTGTGTTACTTTTTTACAGGAGCCTCAATGAACTTAAGCAAAGTACATGTTCTTCACTAAATGGAACACTAACTTTTTCATATTTAGTATTAAAAAGGTGAAATGATAATCAAAGCTAACTTTTTGCTTTAATATGTTTTACTGATTGTCTAAATGGGAAGTCGATATTTAAAAAGAATATTTAATAGGTAGTAAAGGCAAGTCACACAAAATTAAACATTGTATGATTCCATTTGTGTAAATAAGAGAAGACTATATTTGTATGTGTCATACAAATATACATTCCATTTATGTAAATAAGACACGACTATATTTGTTATGTGTCATAGTTTTGAACATTTATTTTTGGATAATATATAATTATCAAAAAAGGAAATAAAACAATTCTGATTTCTTCCATTTTTCTCTGTCTGATATTCAGAAAATTATAGTCTGGTATAATTCTTTTCAAAGCAGATTAATTTCCTTATCATTTCTTACATTTCTCTTTTTGATGTCTTTAAATATATTTATATGCTGCACTTTTGGTACTATACAATATAGAAAACTCTCTAAACTTTCCTAGATTTTTTTCAATGTCAATAATGAATGTTCAAGATTTATTTTTGTTGTTTGCTTTCTTGTAGTGTTACAAGATCAATATTAATATTTTATCTGTTGAGAAGAATTTGATTGAACCATGACTATTGAAAGATGTAGATAAAGTGTGATAAGAGTATGAAAAAGATAATTTTCTTTAACAAAATACTGACTTTATTTTTATTAATTAAATATCTAAATTTTATTTATTTTTTGACTAAGCAGTACATTCACATGTTGCTTAATTCAAGAGGAACTAAACAATATAGATTAAAATTCTTCTTCCTATCCAAGAGGCAATTAATGTTCATAGTTTCATAAAAATATTTCATAAATTTTGCTAATAAAGCATTATCTATCACAGTGTTGTTTCTGCCTTTGCATTAAATGTGAACTTTTCCTGGATTCTCAGTTATTGGTGACAGGAATACATCAGAGAAATAAAAGAGTTTATTTAAGAGAGCCTAGCCTAATTAAGAGTCACAAGACTGGTCAATAAATAGCATTTAATTTAAAACCCAAGTTCTAAATGACTGGCAAATTATAAATAAATAAATAAAACATTAAGAGCATACACTCTTAGAATCGCAGACTGTATAAAAGTTCTGACTTAGGAAAGTATTTCATCTGCCATAAATGTAAATCTTATCAAAGTGAGTTTGCATTTTTAGAGGTCTAAATTATAGAAACACAAATAATTGCAATAGAAGATTATGAAGGGATAGTCCTCAACAAACTTTTCCAAACTACAATTTGCTATGTCAAGCACTTATTTTCAAACTAGTCTGCACTTATTCTCAAACTAGTATGCATCTGAAGAGTGTATAAAACTGTGACCGACTGGGTCCAATCCCCAGGGTTCTTTTCATTTTGACTCTCTTTAAAATTGATTTATCAATCATTTACATAACTATATAATTATGATTTATTGGTGCAGGCTGTTGTGGGTCTTCTAATCTTAAACGGACTATCCACTCTGTTTTGTTACCTACAATTCTGTATCCCTAAAGCAAGGTCAGAAAGGCCTGGCCATAAGAGCCCAACTCTACGAGCCACATTTCACAACAAAAAAGAGCATAAAGCTAGATCACCCTGGGAAGGGTATGCATCATGACCAGGAACACCTGGGGGCTAATGATGGATGCAAAAACTTACTCCTGACTTACATATCTTATATATACATCATGAGGTATGATCGGGAACGCATGGGGGGTCGTTGACTGATGTATAACGAAGGGCCCCAGAAGTTAATTAGTGGAATGCCTTATTGATAAGATTGAAATCCTGACTGGGGAGTAGGGGCTTGTTCTGTGATACCAAGCTATCAGCAGATAAGAAATACTGTTCCAGCCTTCCACTGTTTCTTCTACTTCCCCCTTTCATTTTCTACTTCCTCATATGATTAATGCTGTATGATTTAGTTTACTAATTAAAGGCCAGGATCTTGCTCTTGAGCAGCTTCCTGCATTACTTAGCCAGTTCCATGACTCCCATTTCTTTATCAGTGAGTTGTTGCTTGATGCAACAGGCTGTGGCCATAGCATACAGATTTTTTTTTTCACTTCTGAAGTTAACGTTGGACCACAACACCATATGTGAATCAGAGAAGCATGTACATACCTCCTCAGATACATTATCACCACACCCACCACCGAAGTATCCTTACGGCCATCACCGTAGATAACAGGTCTCCTGCCCTGCTTTGCTCCTACCCTTCCTCACTAGTAGCCTCAATTCTGCAGTCATATTTCTAAGATTTGCTTTTTTTAATTTTGCCAGTTACTTGGTTCTGTTCCTCTATATTCTACTATGAATCAATTCATCAGGTATTTATCTTCCCGCATCTGACTTATTTCACTTACCAATAATCTTCTCCAATTCCATGCATGTTGCAAATGGCAAGACTTCACCTTTTTTATGAATGAGTACTGCATATGTACCTGTAAGTGCTCTCCAGGAGACTCTAACGGGAATCGAGTTTGAATACTATTGGTATAAGTAATAAATGCAAATTTAGAGAAGACATCTTTTATTCAATTCTCCACTGATTATGATTTTGTTTGTGTATGCTTTACTCATTCACACTTAAATTAATATGCTTGTTATATTTACTCAGCTTCTTGTGTATATGTTTGTTGGGGGTAGTGCACTACTAGAATTTGGCAAGAAGCTGGATACATATTGTATTTTTCTATGTTTATACTTGCTGATAGTTTCCTTGAAATCTAAAACAAGCATAGTATTTTGAGAAAACTATTAGCCATAAATAGTCATCTTAGATTATATGTTGTTATAAACATTTTATTTTATTGTTAGCCTAAATAACCAAGACTCCAAATTTCCATAAAATGTTTTTGATATTAATATCACCATCTCCAAAAGAATCACATTTAGAGAATTTATTACCACTAGTATTTGAAGGAAAACAATATTTTGAATCTGGGGATAGAATAGTACCTGAAAAATTCTAAACATTAGTTATTGGTTCCCATTCTAATGTCATTCCCATTTAGACTAGATGATAAAAACAGAGCTATTCCAACCAAACTATTTACTGTTTATGTGTGATGCAATCCAAAATAGGTTCAGAACAAAAATAATTTTTAAAAATACCCTATACCGGCACTCCCTGGTGGCACAGCTGGTTAAAGCACAACACTGAGAATCTAAAGCCGCTTCCGCATGAGTTCGATTCCCGCCTGCCCCGGAGGTGACCACATGGCGTGGCAGACCTCTCCTGCCTTGTCCACTGCTCCCCTCAGCAGTGTACTTCGTCGATCTGCCTGTTCTGCTCCCCACTCTGTCTCTGGTGAAGCCTCTCACCACCCCTGAGCCTCTGGCCTGTACCCCAGTTCTGTATGCACAAATAAATAAATCTTTAAAAAAAAATACCCTATACCCCAAGGAATGCAGTCATATTCATTCTGTATTGTTTGACCTAGCTTAGGCAATCAGGTTATGTTACAAATAAGTGTATGTAAATTTATGTTGTAAATTTATGTTCAAGGCAATTATGTTTTTTCATGCAATAATTTCTACATTCAGAAAATTTAGGAAAGCCACAATCTTACTTTATTTTGATGTAATTTATGAGTATAATAAGATGAGCCTTTGCAAAGTTCAAAAAGTCAACAAGTAAGCAATTTTTTCTTTTTAAAGAATTAGCATGAAGTCCAAAATGATTGCTTTGATTACAGTGCTAATATTTTTAGGTGGATTACAAGGTTTACTTGTGTAAAAAGAGTGAAAGACATTAAATAAATTAAGATATGATCTACTCTTCAATACCTTTTCCCTGAATATCACACCATGTCCTTTAATGGTAATGTAGATATAATTGAACAGTAAATAGGGAAGGGACTTAAGAATTATGGACAAAGAACATTGCATAAAGTTTTTCATTCTTAAAGGGAAAAAACTACAGTATCCATAAGGAATATACCCTACGAAACACGTCCAAGTTTCTGCCACTCACTGTTGATGCTCTGATGAACCATGCGGAAGGCACTGCAAAGACCTGTTATTGCTCCCCATGCAGAGGTGCTATTATGTTTACCTTTAACCTTTGTAGTGTGGGAACCATTGCTTGAGTACATTCACCATTTTCACTCGGTGTCTAAAATAGCATCCAGCCTATAGTTGATCTTCCATAAATATGTTTAGACTTAATGAGTTGATAATAGTCTTTGAGAGATAAAGTATGAAAATTAAAAAGAAGGTATATGAATATTGTTAAAAACACCATAGCAAGATAATGAAAGGCATTTCAGGATTTGAGTTTTCTCCTTTA